GTATGCAACTTATAAAACTAAATAAATTAGAAAATTAGCGAAAAAATTATAAAATTATCTGAAAAATTGAATTATGAAAACATTTTAACAAAGATCAGGGTTTAAATATCCATTCAAGATATCGGTCAAAGATCAGGTTTTAAAATAAGAGTTCAGGTTTTAAATATCAGGATTACAAATTTACTAATGATTAATCTGTATTAATTTAGTACTTATTGTATTTATAGTGAACGGCCTTTTGTGTGTGTTTGTGTGCGAGTGTGTGACAGTGCATGTGGATGTGCATGCTTTAATGCTGAGGAGTTACAATTCAAAATCAGAAATTTCTAAAAAAAATTTAAAGATCGATATTATATTTTTGTTTTGAAAAGTTTCCCTTAGAAAACCAAATACATGGATAATCAATTATAGTATTTAATTGTTTGATTATTTGTGGCAAGAAAAGATAAAGAATTTGCTTATTATTACTGTCAATACACATTTTGAACAACAAAGCTATTTTTATTTTAGAACTTATCCTTTTTTAAAAATTTTATTTAAGAAAACTGCTATATAAATTCATCTATATCTAATTTTTTGGAATTAAAATTGCATCAACAAAAAATATTAACAAAATTAAAAACATCAAGTGTCATATTTTGACATTAAAAATTTAAAATTTAAAAAAAAAAAAATTATTTCAAAATATCATATTTTCAAAATTAAAAATTTCAAGTGTCTATGTACGAATCAAAATAAATCAATCTAAACAGATGTATGCAAACACTAATAAGACTTGGATTGTTTTGGTTTGTCGCTCTATGATCATTTTGTGCATACTTTAAGCTCGTTAGAAAGGGACCTGCAGTTTAAAATAGATTCCGAACCACTAACATACATCCATGCCACCCCCAGGATTTAAAATAGTGGCTGAAAAAATTAATTAATTAAAATAGTAGTGAATTTAAATTAGTGGTACCAAAGGCCAAAGCGCAATAAGGGTTGGAGGAAAAAAATAAAAACTTTAGAGCACTTATTAGAGAGTTTTTGAATACCGTATTTCGGACGTCCGTTAGCTTTTTCTCCCTAGTGCGCATGCCCATAGGAAATTGCGCATTCGTATCTGTAATAATGTTTCCTATGAACATGCGCGCTAAGGAGAAAAAGCTAACGGACGTCAAAAATACGGTATGCAAAAACTCTCTATTTTCTCTCTCACTCTCTTTTTCAGTTTGAGCAATAAAAAACTTCCCTCATTTCATTTGCAGTGCATACCTACTAGCTGGAATGTAAGTTTGATTTCCGCTGATGACATACACAATAAACTTAATTGCAGCATATTGCAACAGTTGCTTCTTTGAAAAGATGACTCAGTTGGAGATTGTGACAGAGCGTCACGTATTAATATCTCGAGGAAGATTTGAAATTTCTAATGCAACACGAAAATTCTAGTTACACTCGAACGTAAATACGGCGCAAATTATTCCTTCCTTCTATGGATATGATGCAGCAGACTCCATCCCCCAGGTGCTTGCTGGATCAAATCTGCTACAATTCTGTCATTTGCGAATATTGGAAATAGAAATACAGCGAAAAATTATCTCCATAATTTTCTGAAATCCCAAAACCATTATGAACTGTATTGCATTTGAGACATTAAAAAATGGTGATTGAATTTAACATAAGATGATCAACGGATAAATAAGTGGTCAGATGGACAATTGGCTAGTGATCCGGCCTTTGGTGCCAGACGCTTCAGGTTCGAATCTTGGTGGTGGTATGGATAATTTGTTAGTAGTTCAAAATCCGCATTAAACTGTAGGTCACGATCTAAATAACACAAAATGACTGTAGTGTGACAAACTAAATCTTCAAGGACGCAAGACCCTCATGATGGGCCAAGGTCGTCTGCCTACTAACAGATTCCGAAACATGAGGTGTTTTCTTTTTAAGGGGAGGGTTGTCATTCCTACGTCCGACACTCTACTGTCGTGTTAGGCCGGGACTAATGGTTTAAAGTGGATTCCGAACCGCTAAAACATCCATGACACAGCCAGGACTCGAACCCTAACCTGTGTGTGCGGCATGATGGCCAATTGGCTGGCGTTCTGGCCGTTGGTACCACAGGTTTCAGGTTCGAATCTTGGCGGAGGAATGGATGTTTGTTAGTGGTTCGGAATCCACATTAAGCTATAGATCCCCGTCTAATTAGCCTAAAGTATGCAAAAAATGACCTAGAGTGACGAACCAAACCCAAAAATTATTTCTACATTTTAGCTATTTAATAAATTGAATTTTTAAAATTATTTTTTAAAATCTCATTAAATGTTTTCAAAAAATTCATACATGACATACTAATACATACATACATTCATACATAATACATACATACATTCATATATGACATACCAATACATACGTACATTCTTAGATGACATACCAATACATACATACATGACATACCTACCTTCAAAATTCAAAATCAAATCAAAAAATCATACATGACATACCATAACTCAAACCCATCGGATAATTAATATTTTAAAATACAATAGATAATAAATTTTAATTGTAAAATAAATAAAATTTACTATTAGTTTTAGTCATTAATTAGCTACCGAATTTAAAAAAAAAAAAAAAAAAATTGTTCCAATCCCAGCCTAGAGAAGAAAAAAAGAAATCGTCTACTCCACTAGTTGTTTGTTTAAAAGTAAAGCAGGTGTTCCAATTACTGTCCAGGTGCGCCGGTTTCCGAAAAGTATAATTAACCATCTACTAAGAGGAAGTTTTTCCTCTGTGCTTCGCCGATCAGGAAGAAGTAATACTCGAAAAATAGCATTCGAAACCAGATTGGAAACAATAAGATTCGTGAATCTGGGGATGTTTATCTGTTTCGTTTATGTAGCAAAGCACATAATGAAATGTTTGTTCCTTAACAATGAAACTTTTGTACATATTGAACTGAAGTGTTAATTATATTTAAAACTTATTATTGTATATGTCAATTTAATTGCAGTTTTTTCAAGTTGCAATGATTTAGTTAAATATTAAATTTTTTGAATAGTAAGATTCATAAATCTGAGGTTGCTTATATGTTTCGTTTATGTAGCAAAACACGCAATGAAATGTTTGTTCGTTAACAATGAAACTGGTGTACGTATTGAAAGGATGTGTTAATTATATATAAAATTAATTGTTGTATTTGGTAATTTAATTTTTAAGTTTTTTCAGGCACCGATAATTTAATTAAATATTAAATTTTTGAATAACAGGATTCATAAATCTGAGGTTGTTTATTTGTTTTGTTTACGTAGCAAAACACCATAATGAAATTTTTGTTCGTTAACTATAGAACTGGTGTACGCATTGAAACGACGTGTTAATCATAGTATATAAAATTAATTGTTGTATTTGTCAATTTAAATGAATTTTTTTCAGGTAGCAATAATTTAATTAAATTTTTGAATATTAAGATTCGTAAATCTGAGGATTTTTATCTGTTCCCTTTATGTAGCAAAACACATAATGAAATGTGTGTTCGTTAATAATTGAAATGGTGTACGTATGGAAACGACATGTTAATTATATATAAAAAAATTAATTGTTGTATTTGTCAATTTAATTGAAGTTTTTTCAGGTAGCGATAATTTAATTACATTTTTGAATAATAAAATTCGTAAATCTGAGGATTTTTATCTGTTTCGTTTATGTAGCAAAACACATAATGAAATGTTTGTTCGTTAATAATGAAACTCTTGTACATCCTGAACTAGAACTGAATGAAGTGTTAATTATAACTGAAGTGTACTGAACTGAAGTGTTAATTATATTTAAAACTTATTATTGTATACCTCAATTTAATTGCAGTTTTTACAAGTAGCAATAATTTAATTAAATATTAAATTTTTGAATATGATTTAATGAGCAAAAGTTTTATGCCAGGTTTGGTGATGTTTGAATTTTTTTTCCCAAATGTTGAGGTTTCCTGTCAGTCAACAAAGGACTGAGTAACCATTTCCAGCCTTATGGTATTTCTTAAGCCGAAAACACCCACAGGAAATGATTTTGTGTGGTTAATAATATTGACCTTGTAAATATGTAACCTTATGAAACAGAAAACGCCTGTTTGTATAACTCTCCTCTAATTTCACACTTTCTTGAATATTTAAATTGTACTTCTTTGATGTCTCTATTTATTTCATTTCATTTGCTTTTTGTCGAAAACTTATTACTAAATTCTGGCAAAAGATTTGCCAAAATATAAAAATAAGCTTTTTTTTATACTGATTATATTTTGTCAAATATTAATTTTATCTAGTTTTTTGAAATAATAAAAATTTTATCCTTAATTTAAGTTGATTTAACACAGTTATGCGTACAATTCATTTTTTAGCTGCAATACTTTGAGTACTGTACTGTGTCTTTGTAATATGAATATCATATTTCCGTCTTGATTTTTTGCAGAATTATGGCAAAATCAGAGAAGTTGCTGAAGTTTTACACACTAGTATATATATATATATATATATATATATATATATATATATATATATATATATATATATATATATATATATATATATTATGCACTGAAATAGGAACACAAATATATTAGCATTTTTTATTATTACGAAATAAGCTTCTAACTTTGTACACAAATATTTAGCAATTTTAACATGCCTTTTCACTAAATTAATATTTACATAATAAGTTTTTATTTATTGTTGTTGTTGTTTCTTATCCCACTTGGCTGGCCAAGCCCACGAGCCCATATGGACTCATGATTGAAGGGGAAGGAAGCAGCTTCTGTTGTGATGGAGCACCCGTAGGTAGAAGCCTGACTTTTGCTCCGTGACGCTCTTACAGTCATAGAAGACCGGGACCTACGGCTTAAAGTGGATTCCGAACCACTACAAACATCCATGGCACCGGCGGGATTCGAACCCGAAACCTGTGGCACCGAGCGCTAGACACTCGGCCATTCAGGTCCCAAATTTGCCAACGGCACGCAGTGTTCCCAGGTGGTGTTCCCAGGTGGTCACTGAAATATGTATCCACATGTTTTCAAAAGTACTGACCGCGCCCAATGATGCTTAACTTCGGTGATCTAACGAGAACCGGTATATTCAGCACGGTACGGCCGTTGGCGCTTATTTATTTATAAATTGCTTAAGGGATTTCTGAAATATGTATCTATGTTTTCAAAGGATTGTCTGAAATATGTATCCAAATTTTCAAAGGATTGTCTGAAATATGTATCCATGTTTTCAAAGGATTGTCTGAAATATGTATCCATGTTTTCAAAGGATTGTCAGAAATATGTATCCATGTTTTCAAAGGATTGTCTGAATATATGCAAACACCAATATTTGCTAATAATGGTTTTAAATATATGCTAAATCTATTTTAAGTTGCGATTTCAAATTTTTTTTGTATTCGTCAACAGGTCTATTACATAGCATGTTAGTATATATCGCTATAACTCTAAAAGAAAAATATTTTGAACAGAATAGTTTTATGAATAGCGAGTGGTTTACTATAATCATTGCAGGCCCATTAATTTTTGGACGATGTATTGAAATAGGTTGCCATGTTAAAGATATCCAAATGTAATGGTATATGATATATAATGGTATATCACACTCTCGCGTGATATACCATTAGTAATCGTAAAAGTGCGTAAAACTTATTAATACTTATACGATTAAAAACTTATTAATCGTAAAAGTGCTGAGCAATCGATAGGAGATTGGCCCAAGCTTTTAATCCATCCAATTTTTTTTTATCAATGGCTCACGTACGCACCTTCGACAGTTATTTGAGGAAAATTTTTGTCAAATTAGAGCTTACAAAATAAATTCATTTCTGAAGTCCCATCCATAAATCCACCTATTGTATCACTATCAAAGCATGCGATAATATTTGCCAATACTCGGGGAAAGAAAATTTTGCTGAGACTTCCAGACTGGGTCGGTTTTTGATGGCTCATCAAAAAGATTCACGATTTTCTGTATCACGACTGGTGTCTCTCGTTGGTACAGGTTGGAATAAAAGGACTGGTTTTCTAGGTCTCAGTGCTCTTGTCTCATGTATTCAATGAGGGTGCAATTTGAGATGCTAAAGGCCTTATCGATGACTATGCGAATTATTGACCCCAAATGTTGTTTAGTTGATAATCTACCTTCTCGGTTTGCGGAAAAATTCGCAATTGCTTTGCTTGAGGTAATGATTATTCACAAAGATTTATCTAAAATGAAAGGGAAACATCAAAATTTATCATGTTTTTACATATGTAGAAAACTAGTATCATACAGCAAAAGTAACATAAAAGGACTCATTTATCTTGAAATATTGCTCTTAAACAGATTTCTCCAAATTTCATTCGTCCACAAGACGCTTATCCACTACACTTTCAAAAAGTTTGAATAAGAATTTTTCTAAATGTCGGATCCCAAGAGAAGGCCCATTGCATTGCCTGTCAGAGTTCTGCACATAATGGTTTTCGACTTTTTTGTTTGAGCTAAAAGTTCATAAACTTTTCAATTTGGGTGAATGAATTGCTAATAAATACTTGGCAAGAAATCCCTTACCATCTGAATATCTACAAAGCCGCTAATGATCTTCACATTGAAATTCAGTATCCTTCAAAGGAACTTGAGGGATGCCCTTTTTAATAAAAATGAAATTTAGAACTACCCATGTGATTGTCTCAACATAATAAACTACTTTTGGATATTTTTTAGCTAGTTTATGCTTTCTGATGCCTTTTATTTATTTACCATGCAACTCAAAATCACTAATAATTTTCTCTCCTGCTGCTGGTTTGTCTTGCGCAAACTGAAAATGGTAAATGTATCCTTTTCTAGTGGATTCCATCACATGTTGTCATTGATCGAAACGAAAGGGCAGATCTTCTGGCAAAAAAAAGGAACAGAAGTTCCTGGACAGTGTCCTATCCTTCTTGACTCTTTTAGGAGAACTACATGGGACAAAATTAAGTCATCGTTTATTAGTGAATTATTACCTAACATCAAAGGAAAAGTCTGGGAGACAATTGGAGTGACCGGAAAAAATTTAGGGAAAAAACACGTTAAGAGGCTGTTGCCAATTTTAGATTAAGAACTGGACAAGACTGCCTGGCCGAACATCTGCCGAAAATAGGGATTGTGAACTCCGATTAGTATGTTCTATGTAACACAGAGAAAATGAATAAGGTCCATCTACTTGTGTGCTCGGGACTCGACTCTAAACAGAATGATGATTTATGTACTCTTTACTGGAAGACCAGAAAAAACATGTCCTGACCACAAGGACTTTTATTAGGGTGCTTCTACCTTTTTAAATTTTTATCCTTAGAACATTGAACTTGTTTTTAATTGTTTTTAAGGACGTTTTTATTAAGAATGCCTAGTCTTCGTAATTTTGATTTGTCTATATGTTCTTTTTGTTTTTAACGTAAGTAGTTAAATTTGTATGGATAGAGTTCTAATAAAGTCATAGGTAACAACAACAACAATAATTTGCTCTCCAATTGGTACGTAATTTATGATTTCAGTTCAAAAAAACATTAAAGATCGGGATTCCTTTAACAATAGCTTATTGTGCAAGAGAAGAATTTTTTTAAACCTATTATAAAGTTAAACTGTTAAATAAAAAATTTTATATATTTCTTTATAACTTAAAGATTTCTGATTCTCCGAAAAGAAATTTATAAAAATCGGCTGTCCCAAATGTTACGCACGACATTAAATTTTATTATTTGTGGTGTAAAAAACTAAAATTAATCATCGTTTCTTTTAGTATAATAAAAAAAAACTTTTTTGCAATTTAATATTATGAATATTATAATTTTTAGTCAAATTTTTTATTGTTAATATGCTTATTATTGCAAATTTGTTTATTATAGTTTTTATATTACTAATAAAATCAGAAATAGAAACTTTAGAAATAAAAACTAAACAAAGTTTCCATACCATTTTAATATTGAAAAAGTGCTCTAATGAGCTGGGAGCACCTATATTTCCTTTTTTCAAAGAGAGAAAGAAATGAATGTTTCGTAATCACTGGCTAAAGGAAAAAAAAAGAAATCTAGAAAAAAAGTTCTAGAAAAGTCTAAAACTGTGAAGAATTTCCAGTAATTACTTCATGTCGAAACAATAAAATCCTTTTATGAAAGCATTAATGAACACTTCATATCCTGTTCTAAGATTAAATTCGCCTCCGATATTACTGCAGTATGCAAATGGAGTGCATGTGGATCTAATCTAAAAGCCTTGGGGGTGATTTATTGCCAATTTCTACACATTTCAAGGTTGGCGTATTAGTTTTAGTTCAGTGTAAACAGAGTGAGTATCAAATCAATGTTACTTTGATGAAGAAATTAATAAGTCCTACATCAATTGATTGGTTGTTTAGGAATTTACTATATTTGCTGTACAGGTTTTGCCAGTCTAAGTATACCATTTTGCAAATCAAATTCTCCTTTTCGCAACTTTTTATTTAAAATTGTTATTAACTGAATAATTTTAACATTAATGACGAGGAAATAGAGCAAATACCTAAGCAATAACTTATTCCTGAGTTATAATAATTACATATTTAATACAAGTTTAGCAGTCCAAATGCTCATTTTTGAAAACAAAATTTGCTCTTTTGCAAATCAAATTCATCCCTCTCAAAATTAGAGTTTTATTTATTTGTTAGTTCTTGTGCATACGCTTGCTTTTAAAGACTTATATGGATACATAAGTCTAAATTTATATTTCTGTATCAATAGTGATGTATTAATATGGGTAAAGCTGTATGCTTAAAATGCACAAGAGTATGCATACGTAATTTGCGTGTAATATATGTAATTTGTACGTAATATACGTAATACGTTTTTTTATATGTTTACCCTCAACTACAAGTGTGTGTTTACTTACTTTTGTTTGTAAATGTTTTTGCGTGCGTGTTTTAAGTGCTTATTTACTCGTGTGTGGATACATGCGAATAGTAATAACAGCCCACTAATAGGTGATGGGAGGATGACAATGTCTTCGGGACAATGTTTTTCTGAGTAACTGCCACTTGTTTGAATTTTAATAGAAAATTGTAAACTCGCACCAGGTAACCTAACTATTTTTGCGAGACGCTTTGTACATACCACAATCGCCATCGAGTCTCATCTTCTCTATAAGCAATGATTACAGCAGTGACAAGAGGATTCGGACTTTGGTCCTCCTACATTCTGCCACTGGGCCATGAGTTGAACTATATGGGGAATGGGCTCTATAAATTCGGAGGACAGAAAATCTTTGTTGTGCTGAGAGAGAGGAAGGAGAATTTCCATGAAGTTATATAATGCCCGCTTTAAAATAAGGGTGCAATATAGCAGGGTTTTTCGTTCTACAATTCGAGTAACATTGAATTTGCTAAATATGTACCACTGAAGTTCCAAACAACATCATGTAAACCTCGTGCTTGGCATTAGAAAATAGCAACGCATTTCATTGTATATTCAACAAACATAAAAAAAAAAAAAAAAAAAAATAAAATAAAATAAAATAAAAAAAAAAAAATGCACTACAAAATAACATTTTCAACTTTCTGAGAATCATTGAATAAATTAGATCATAGTTTCAATTAGTTCATATTAATATTCATAAATTTCAATATTCAAAATTTGATCCAGTTAAAAATAGTTCAGAGGCCTGATGACCAAGGGACTAACGCTTTGAGCTCGATATTGCGGGTTCGAGTCCCAGAGGTGCAGTGGATGTTTGTAGTGGTTCGGAATCCACTCTAAACCTTAGATCCCGATCTATGCGTAGGGCTGACAACCCTACCCAGTAAAAAAACATCTTCTGTCTCGAAATCAGCCAATAGGCAGATGGCCTTGGCCCACCATCGGCTGTTGCGCCTATGAACAAGATGAAATAATAGTTCTGTCAAAACAGTGCTTAAATGATCTGAAGCATTTTAATATGACGAATATCATATCTTCACGAACTTTTGGAATAAAGGCCCTCTAACACAATTTCTGTTTAAACACAATATATTAAACCTGTGGAGAAAGGAATGTATTAGACAGTTACCTTATTTTTATGAGGCCACTGATCACAAATTCTGTAACCCTGAAATACATACTTCAGAGTACATAAAAT